TGGAGACACACATTGACTTTGAGAGACTATTAGAAGAAGTAAATAATCCAAACACTATCTCTTTATATATCTCTATCAGTTAGGATCAGAAGCAACCAATCTTCCTGATATATCACAAGGTATACAGTCACGTGACACTACTTACTGATCACGTGATCACAGGTTGGTCTGATAGTTTGAGACAAGCAATAGATCATGAAGCAATGAGTCTGTCTCAGTCTCCAGAGACGTTTGGTACATGGCTACTGATTAATAAACTAAAAGAAACAAATGATGTAATACTGATGTAATTAGTGTATAATTAGTATTGTTACTATTATTAGGATAAGGTGATTAATGAGGTAATTAGTGTGGGTGTAGTATTACGAGATTTGATGTATATTAATTATCAAAATTTAATTGAATTATTAATCAAAGTAATAATAATTAATATTATTATTACTCTTTCTCTCTCAGTATATTTCATTTATTAGTTTATACAGTATATTTAAATTACATACAGCTGGACTAGTATTAATACATGAAATATTGTCCAAGTAAATATTATGTATAATTAATAATATGCCTCACTCTCTCTCTCTCTCTCTCTCCCTCAGTTCTTCAAATATGAAGGAAACAGTTTGTGAATATTTCATTACATCATTAGTCTCCTCCTCCTCTCATGAATTACCAGCTGGTATTATTAGAGTATTACTATCTCTTTCCTTCAGTCAATATAATGAGTATAATAATGATAATGGACTCAACTCTACTGCTCAATGTAGTGACAATATTCTAATGGAAACTGTTCACTTGCTTCTGATCTCTCCATTCCTCTTCTGGTAGACACCATAAACAAAACGCTTTCTTTATCTGACTGCTGTAACTCACCAGGGCATTAAGACTTGTAGATCTACACTCCGTCACGCCAGCGTAATTTCCCCATCCTACTCACAAGGGCTAGCGTGCTTCTCTTAAAATCATGTCAGCCGACGAAGAAGACGTAATTATAACCGAGAAAGACCTCGCTGCACTCAAGAGCGACGTCCTGAAAGAGAGTATTGAAGATATAAGCAGCCAGCTAGGCGACCCGGGGAGATACTTCGCTAGCTTCAAAGCGAAGGAGATCCTTGACAGAACAGATTGCGAGACTATAAAAGCACAAGTTACAAGCGTGGATAAGGCTAATGTCTTTATCGATACCATCAGTGGACGTCGTGGTAGAAAGGGAGAACATCCATACGACGTTTTTGTTGGTGCCTTGAAAAGGATGAAAGTCCATATCCACATCGTTAGGATTTTAAACCAAGCCTTGGCAAAGAAGATAGCCGGGCTTAAAACTACGAAGAGAGTGCAAAGTGAGACTTGTTGTGTTGCTTTTATTTATTTTTGTTTGCTTTGCGACGCTACACATCTCTACATGTACATGCACATGTACATGTATTTCTCGTACCTGCTTACTCACTCTTGATCTTTCTCTTCCTTTATTTTCTCATGTTTCGATGTACGTGAACATATACTTACTTAATTATGTACTCTCTCTCTCCCTCTCTCTCTCTCTCTCTCCCCCTCTCTCCCTCTCTCT